ATAGTGAATAAGGCCTTAACGTGGTTATGCACCAACAGACTGCTATTGTTGTATCTGTTGAGAAGTAGTTCCCATGCTACCACATAGTTACTAGCAGAGAATTCTAAGGAATCGATAACTAACTCCGCGCTTCCCTTTAGTGACGATTTTAGGTAGTGGAATTTCTGAATATCGCTAATTTCATCGGAATTGTGTACTAGAGATAGAAAAATGTCTCTGTATTCGATCCAATGCTCATACGTTCCATCATATACAGGTAGGGAGATGGTCGGAAGTTTTATAGACTGTGACGCCCTATTACTACCCTTACTGGACGCGCTAGTGACCTCTACCGATTTGAGCAAACATTCAGCTTGAGCTAGTGCATGATAATAGCAATCTTCAAACAATTCTCGTTGCGTCAGCTGCGAATCTAAATCTGAATCTCGTACAATTTTTTCGATTTTTGTTTGAACATCGCTAAACTCTGTAAATAAGCTCGTAACACCTTGCATGCGTAATTTTACATCGGCGCATTTTTGATTAGTTAATTGTTCGAGGGTAATATCACTAACGGCATTAGAAAATTTAGTAAGCCTGCTTTTTAATATGCCACGCGTCTTGACTAGATCCTTTAGCAATTCATTATCGTTTTCATTATTAGCGACTAGCCTATTAGGGGATCTTTCACGATTTATTTTAACACTAGCCTCATTTATACTCATTTTGGCAAATTATGAAGGTACTTACGTTTGATTCTTGGTCTGTAAGATCAGCCTGTGCTAGCTGCGACACAAAGCTGCTTCTTATTGCTAAACACAAGAACTGTAACGTGACTAAAGGCACGGTGTGACACAATTGAAGCGAAGGAGATGGGGTTAGGGAGGATGGCAGACCGTTCCGGAATGCGCTTATGGACGATTGCTGTCTGCTGCTGCTCCTCCGACGCCTTAACCTCGATCCTTACTAGATGTCTTCTCACTTCTCGTAGTCCAAAACTTGTGCGATGAATTGGCATACGATGAGTCCAATGGTCGCTGACTCGTACTTTTCGTATTATTATTCGGCAACGAAGGTCCAAAACACGTATGTTTGCGCTTGAAGGTGAGAAGCTCTTGGTTGAAATGAAATGCTTGTCCGTGCCTCAAGTTTTATAATAAATTAAAATAAATACAAAAGTGCGTGTAGTTCTATCCGTTAACAAAATTTGAATGTTTGACCTTCTAGCGGTTAAACGGTCTATATCTATGGTTCTAATATTGCAAGTACGAAAAATTTACTTTTTATTAAAACGTCTATACTGCCAAATCTTGAACATGATGATACAACAATTTTCTTTTTCATGCGTGTGCCATAGTAACACAAAATGGTCACAACTCAGGTTATTTCTTTGGGCAAAACTAAGGGCAAAACGCTGAAATTTTTACATTGTAACATACCTAGGTACTATATGAGTTTTAGAAAATTAAATACATGTATTTAATATACGCCGACCCCAAAATAATAATTGGAATAAGGGTAGAAAGATGATGATGAAATACATGTTGATCTATGTAGACATTCACAAGCTGCACAGAAACTTGAAGATATAATATTAAAGACAGATTAAATATAAACCCCGCTACCAGCATGTTTTTAAATTACGAGACGTTATGAATGTTAATAAAGTAAAAAAATGTAAGTATGTAAAGAACAAATGAATGTATCCACAGAAAAACCAAAGTGACCACTGTAGCCCAAAGAATAAGAAAGCTGAAGAGGCAATAGGGTAGTCACATAGTTCGACAAATCGACAACTGATGGAGAAGAAAGGTTCTTAAATGGAGGATGGTCATCCTACATTGCATTTGCCTGAGGAAGTCGCTTAAAGTCGAAGCAACTACCTCAAATGCATTCTAAAGTATCAGTGGATTAAGGTAGCTGGAGACCGTTTTTTATGGCAGCGTATGTGAGAAACTTATGTTGAGTAGTGGACAGATAATAGCTGATACGATGATGATCAGTTTTTATTTATTATTTATGCAGCGTCTTGGACAAAGAATACAATTATGAGATATCTAAAAATCCCTTATATCTCATCGATTATGAACAATATTAGCGGCGGCGATTCCTAGTGGATACTTACATTAAAAACATACAGCTGATTTGTCAGTCTTTTAATGAATTATTTAGAAAGAATGATGGATGAAAAATTCAATTAAATTACCAGAGGGAGACTTTGTACAAAAGTCGATTGCTTGGGTACCTCTGTCCCATTCGTGTTTCTACCGTGAAGCAGTTGTGTTTGCATGGCTGTGTTTCGGTTTGAAGGGTGGGATATGGCGAGAATTTACAGGGTAGAGTGGAATAACACCTGAGTCCTCAGAAACGGCAACGCATGGAGAGTATCATGGGCGAAACAGTATACTCTGTTATGTCCATGGTACTGCTTATGTCTATAGGCGACGGTTACCACTTTCCATCAGGAAGGCCGTCTGCTTGTTTGTCATTCTAAGTTGTATAAAAAAGATTATAAATAAATATATAAATAAGACTAAAATGTACAAACTAATTGTAATGTATGAAGGTACATTCAACATTTATATAAATAGTATATTTCTGGTGTGGGTAAATGTTTTTTGTCGTGGATTATATTGCGTAGCATCAAGACGTGTTTTATACCTGCAATAGTTCTAAACAATATAATAATACCAGTACATACTAATTACTGGCGATGAATCTAAACTAATCTCTAAACTTACGCAAAATATAGTAAAATTAATAACAAAAGAAAAATAAATACCTATTTGCTTTTTTTTGTGTGTTGCTGGAAGAGAACTCTTTTAGAGTTAAACTCGCCTTTGTACATTTGATTACCTCTGCCATATTTTTATGTATATTTAGTATGTACAATAAGCTATTAAATAGATAAATAAAATTGACATTAGAATGAACTATTTTGCTGTAATTTGTCTTATATTTGGTAATAGACAATATGTTATAAATAAAATTAACATATCTAGAGACAAACCCAAATGAAATAAAAAAAGAGATTTAACAGATAGCTGCGTATTGTTTAAGGGAGAATTCAAATTTTAGGAAGCAGTATGTTTATACGAGACAAGAGATAGAATAGAAAGAACATCGGACATAAGAATAGAGCTTCGGAAGTGACCATTTAGATCTTTCTGTTCACCTCATAAATGAGGCAATACAAAGACAAATAAATCTCCTTCTCCCTCACCAGAGGAAGACTTTGTACAAAAGGCATTTGCTTGGGCACCTCTGTCCCTTTCATGTTTATACCGTAAAGTAGTTGTGTTTGCATGGCTGTGTTTCGGTTTGAAGAATGGGATATGGCAGTAAATTAACAGGGTACAGAGGAATAACACCTGAGTCTTCAGGAATGGCAACGCATTGGGGTATTATGAGTGAAACAGTACACTCTGTTTAGTCTATGTTACTGCTTATGTCTATAAGCGACAGTTACCACTTTATATCAGGTGGACTGTCAGCTTGTATGGCATTCTAAGTTGCATAAAAAAAACATTTAGTACAAAATAAAAAAAGAAATACGTTCCGATTAAACAGAAGCGAGATTTTAACATGAACGATAATTTTGATTTATAACTAATTAAAACTAAATTCCATTTTACTTACTCTACTGAGATATTTTCCGTCGCACGCTCTAAATGTATAATTTTTATTTTTCTTTATAATTATTATGTACTAAATGGTGATGCGACAATTATTCTCAGAACGCCCGCTGAGTAGAAATGACATGGTCAAATTGTATGTGAGAAAAGTGCTCGTAACAAGTTTCTAATTTAACATCGGACAGTTTTTCATACGACATTGCAGAGAAAGCTTCATTTGTACTGTGATTTAGACAGAATACCCGTATTACCTATTCTGGTCTATTTATTAACTATTATTTAGAGAGAGATTAATCTCTCTAAATAATAGTTTTGAATCATGTTGTTATGTATAATTTGATATTTCTATACTCATTTTGTGTTTCGCATTTAAATCATATATACACTACACACAATAACGATCCACCCCAGCTGTACATAAATAAATAAATAAGTATTTTATTAGTCTTCATAAGTTTCTTTGTTTATACTTTAGTTTACATTTATTGTAATTTTCGTAGGGAATTTATATTTCTAATATAATGTATAACCCATGTTGCTTGCTGGTAATATGGCTTTCTATAGATGAAAGAATTTAAAAAAATCGGTTGAACAGTTTTTGAGTTTATCCATTACAAACAAACAGACAAAAAATCAAATCTTTTATATTAGTTTAAGTAACATAGATCTATAAAAATTGTAGTCAAACATAATACGTATTTTATCTATAGACAGGTACATACATTACACAAAAGTAAATAAGTATATAAAAAAGACATTTAAATTTCAAATTATCCTATTTTCTGATTCATTTCATTCAGCAATCTAGACTAATTTAACATAAATTTAATTACATAACGGAAGGTACTTAAACAATCAGATCTTATTGCGATTTCAAGAAATATAATCTGGATATAAAAATAAATTATTATGTAATGACATTTTTCTTACATTCTGATAAAATATACTATTTTGTGAGCAGGTTTAGTTTATATTCAGTGCTTTAATTAATTTATAATAATTGTAATAACAATTACATTAAAACAAAATTATAATAGAACAGCTCACTATATATTTACATAAATATAAGATTAGTGTGCGTTGATGTCTTTTGTTATCAACGTATTACGTACGTACCGTGTCGTTGACACAAGTATAATTTTAATATTTATATTTTACAGCCAAATGTTAGTAAAATGTTGTAAAAAATAAAAAAAATATCAAATGATAAAGATGTTATATTTATTGTAGAATATTTGTTACAATTTTGTACATATATCTAATAATTCAATACAAATTATATTTTGGTATTCGTGAACTTGTGTAGTAAAATAAAGAAAAATTATAATGTGTTAAAAATTCCGTGAACCTGCAAAAATTTTAATAATTTATTAAAAAAAATCTCACCTTCACTAGCGATGTTTGAATCTCTGACGATTTAGTTGAACGTCAAAAATATCTTCATCGTATAACTAAACTGAAAATAAATCACTACAATCCCAAAAAAGCAAACTAGGCTATTAGCAAAAATGTTCCTTTTGCATTCAGTGGTAAAAAAAGAAAAAAGTTCAACAACAGATAACTGGTAGTTGAGAAAATTATTTTTAAAATAAAAACCGTGAATGAGCGTGAAACTTCCGAATTCAAAACCGATTAGAGCGTCGCGTTCGAATTTAAAAAGCGTTCGAAATTTGAAAACGCTGCGTTCCGTTGCAAGCTTACGTAAGCTCTTCGCGGTGCGTGGAGCGGTTGTAACGGTGACTGGAGCGTATCGGTCCTGCGCTCCGGGCCCCGCCTACAACGGAACGGAACGGTGGGGACGATACACCTCTTAGCCTCTTCACACTTCCCTCATACCTACTAGTTACACCAGTCTAATATGACCTTCCTCACCTCTTTGGCATGCAGAAAATACGGGTATTTGCGGGGAATGTTTGATGCTTTTGTAGATCTTAATTATTTGGACTATGTTTGTAAGCTAAAGTGTCATCATTATAAGCGATTCAAAACTTTAAGACCTGACAATAAGGCAGTAGATATTAGTATTATGGTAGGTGGGTTTCTGGTATTTTGCGGGGCGGATGCTAAGGACTGTTAAATAGATAAGATACAAATGCCGATGTATAAGCGATATCTATAGAAATGGAAGGGAAGGAATGGCGGTCGGCGAAAAGTTTGTTGTAAAAAAGAGATCCTTTCTTATTATCATCTACATATACAAGCATGTATTGCAAAATATATATACATATATTTGAACGGGACATAGTTTAAGTTTTATACTTATCAAGATCACAGATATTAATCAAAATAGATGTGGTAACAAAATGATGCCACATCTCTTTGTGTATTAATTTTTGGTTCTTCAATAATCTCAACAATGTCTGATTGATTAAACTTAAACTCTATTTAAATTTTGAATCGAAATTCTTACAATTAATTTATATCGTAAACATATTTCGATAACATTCAGAAAATCACTTTTACATATAATATATTTGTATGGATTTGGTACTGAAAGAAATTAATTTGTTTAAATAAATAGTAGAAATTTAAGAGCAAAAGGTTTTTCGTCTACATTATATTCCATGTGCTCATGTTACGTGTCATCTTCGCCAAATGTAAACTTGGGGAATTACAAAATGACTTGAGTGCTCTATCACTCTTAATTTTAACCATCCTCTGTGCTACATCTATTTAGGTATATGCTCCATTTTTTTATTTTCAAAAGAATTACGCTTATTTCCAGTATTACCTGTATTAAAATTGTGTACTGATCATCACTAATATACAGTAAATAGATACAAAATATTTGATGACAATTTTTAACCACTTATTTATAGAACACTTTAGTCGCTTTTCTACTAATGCTATTGACCTAAACAGCTAAAATACTCATATTTTTCTAATGTACAAAGTGTGAAAATGAAAATGTAATAAGATGTAATCACATTGAGAATCTAAAAATAATAATTAGAAATCGTGTCTCACAAAATATTTTCCATTGTGATAAGACCAATTATTAGAGTCTAAAAATTAAATTACTCAACTGATGTTTGATGAAATTTCTATGTGACTAATCTGTAAGTATATCCATTGAAAACAAAAAGAATTGCCCAAATCGGTTTAGAATGGATGGAGTTATGCGATAACAAACGTAAATAAAATACAACCGAATTGAGAGTCTCCTTCTTTTTGAAGTCGGTTGATTTAAAAAATCGATCTCAAAACCGAGTATGTCTACCTACTAGATCATACATACATAAAGACTGCTATATCGTGGACAATGAATTGTCTAAAATTTATTTTAAACGAAGCATCTGGACTTCTACTTACAAAAAGCATTATTATTACCAACAAGCTGTTAGATATTTTTTATTAATGAAAATAGAATGATAATCCTGCCTATGCTGCTTGCGTTAGTTTGCATCTAGGGAATTAGAGAAGCTATTCGAACGAGTTCATTAGGAATTAACCACGTTTGTTTTAAAGAAGAAACACGTAGAAAGCAATCGAGATACAGGGGATTAGTAGCCCCAACTATAAATTCAGGTATAATGTATTTGTAGATTACAATACAGCGATGATGTAATAAAGTCTCTTATGACTTATACCACACGATGTATACGTACTTGTACTAGGCTTGGCCTTAAGTGTTATATTTTTTATGGTGTTTAAACATAGCGTTTACTACTCACCTATTTCTCGGTGTATATGCTATCTAATTTTTTTTGCCAAGCATTTTGCTTCCCAGTAAATACACTACTTCTCGATAACGTAGCAAGACAAAACACACTAGTTACTCATTTAGGAATACAACCATGAAAACCGCAGCGAATTTGGTGCAATAGTTTTTGCATGATGTCGAAATGATCATACAAGTAGGCAGATAGACAAAATTTGTAAAAATGATTCCTTTGGCTTGAACCTCAAGAGAGAACCGTAAGAGGCAACTAAGAGGGGAAAATGAATTGTTAGTAATAGAGACTAAGAATTCTATTGCTATTCTAACCCAACCAGGTCAACCTCCACGCGGTTCCCCCTGGAAACTATCATGGTTAACTAATGAATTTATTATCGTAGGCTGACTGACCTGTTTTCATTCTCACCTATCATCCCTTACAGGTGCCTCACCAGTGTTAGCGTAGGCGGAGTTACCATTACAGTTTCACCCATTAAAAAAAAGAAGCAACTGAGAGAACTTAATGGGCAACAGCGTTCCTCTTAAAACATGACCAAATTCTAACCGCGGTTACCAATCTACCTGCCAAGCGTGACAACAACTGGCAACCCCCCCCCCCTCTATGGGGAAGGCTTCTGTTCAGCAATAGACAGTTAACGGCTGATATGATGATGATCATTCTCTTTTATTACTGCACATACATTACTAGATAGATTCCCAAAATCCTATAAACTCTTTATTACTTAGGTACCTTCTTATAGTCGTTTTGCTCACACGTCTGAAGACGTCAGGAAGTTATTTCCCCTTTTCCAGTGATTAATTAATTGTGAACAAAGACGGTTTTGTGAATTCCAGGTGTGAGCAATTAGTGCACCAGAGTGTTTGAAGTGGACGTGTGTGTATGTTTGTGTGTGCTCTATCTCGGGAACAATCTGCGTTTGCACCCGAGCGGGCACCCTCAAATTATAGGGGAATTACTGGACATTGAGCGAACGACCATAGAGACTGTCGACTTAATACATTTTATTTATTTTATTGTATATATATATATATATATATATATATATATATATCAACCAATCAATCAAAACATCGTTATATAAATACGTCTGTTACAGACTTTTATGATACGTAATTTTATAAATATAATTACTTTATAAAATAATATTGGTCATAATAATTACAATTACAATACTTCCACTTCCCATTACTGCAATATTCAAGTCTATGGATTATGAAGTCATCCAAAAGTTTATTATAATATATTAAATATATATATATATATATATAATTAATAAAAAAATAACTTTTTTATATATATAGAATCTAAAAAATAACTTTTTTATATATATAGAATAAAATAATATAAAAAAGTTATTTTATTTTTTTTACAAAGTCTGGATATGCTTATCATAGCCTATGAGTTCGCGCTTATAACGTTAGGGGTGTCACTTGCTCATTACCGACATTTAAACAATTTTATCAAGCTCCTTTTAAAAAACTCCATAGATTAAGTATTCTACAACTGCGTGGTACATACTCGACATTATGTATCACGACAAAATTTTCTGTGTATCTGAATATACTGCGCTATGAATGTCACTAATGAGAACTATAGTACTGTTCATGTCTGTAGGTGAAAATTACCACTTTCAGAAAAGCGAACTTACTGTTAGCCTCCCAATCAACCATTGTGAAAACAGAAATGTAATAATGCGGTGAAAAATATTATATTATCATATCATTTAAGTTGATAAAAATCAAATGTTATTTATATTAAAACAGCAAAAGTTAATAAAGTGTTCTGATTAATTCACATTACAGTTGTAAGCATATTTATTTTAAATTTAAATATTAATTTTCATAGTAACAAATAACAACATTTAATTGTACAAAATTTGGACTATATGGCATTATTCCCAAATAACAACGTTATCTATAGATTTAAAATAAATGTGCTTTTTTATATCTCAAGTCCTCAGTTTTCGTGGTCATAGTAATTGTGCACGTAAAATTTGAAAAGAAGTCACACGCATCTGCTTTCCGTCTCGAAGTAGCAATTATATACGAAAATAACAAAAAATATAGCCATTTTAACAACTTACCTTTTGCGCACACCACTTGTAAAGTATTAACGTCCAAAAATTACATAAAATAAGTTATTGTTTCAATAAGTCCTTTATTATTTGGCAAGATGTATTTTAAGCATTGAATAATTCTGATTTTTTTTTCCAGAATTCCATGTTAGCTTAGAACACTGATTCTTTTTGTCAAAGGACAGAGTTTACTCCCGTGTCACAACTTATTCTGTGGTGCCTATAAATTCTCAAATTGTTCAACGGCATTTTAATACAATCATAAATTTTCGAGTTATATTATATCTCATAAAATTATTCATAGTAAATATGACTGATTAATTTCCTTATGAAAAAAACACTTAAAGTAAATACACTGAATTATAAACCATGTTTTCAAACATTACAAAGTACAAAATGGATTCACCATAATAAAGACTTACGACCTTTTTTGAACAAACGTGTTGTAGGTTATCAAAGCGAGATAGATACGGTGAATCTTCTAGTATAGAGAGAGACATGTATATAATCTGTAGTGCCTACTTTGAGAGGAGGCGGGTTCCTAGGAATAGATAACTTGGAGAATACGCTTCTATTAAAGCAATGACAAACAAGGACTTTTGGTAAGTATAACTTTGATCTCTCCTGCATCGAATGCCGTTAATATTAAACTGGAATTTCGTAAAATTAAATTGAATGTAATGTAAATTGAACTTTAAAGACATACTATGTTTGTTTTAAGTAATAATTTAGGTTATAATTCATAAAAAAAAAAATTCGTATCTATGAAACCACAATAGAAGTTTTTTTTTTTTTTTAATTAAATTCGAATTATCAAAATCCGTTCAGAATTAAGGACGATATTGCATATCATTAAATAAAGAAACTTCGAGTCCAACTTAGTACTTTTTAAAATGAGTCCAAAAAAGAGTAAATGAAAATATGAAAGAATCTAAAACATTTTGCAACGTTTCACAGGTT